TTGATAAAGTAATTAATTTATTATTTGTAAGGGGAGGGGGTGTCTAAGTTTAAGTGAAGCTGAATATATTTTTTAACTTAAACATGTTCAACAAAAATATCATTAATAAGTATAGGTATGTATTGAACGGCCTTCTTGAAAAGCTTGCTTGCTTGAAAAGCTTTATTTCCAAATTTTTTGAGCAGTGACACCAAACTAGTGTTTCGCCGGAAGTTCCGGTTCCGATAGGCCAAAAGTTCCGGGAGTTTTTGGTTCTGGTTCAGGTTCTGGCCTTTCAGTTCGGTTCCGGCCAAATTTGCGGTTCCGGCGAAACACTTTACCAACCCCATTGACTAAGTTATCAATATTTTTTGTTGTTTCATTTTTAGTGAATTAGAATTTGTCGTGTAAAAGATTGTGAATTTCATTCTGAGTTAGTGGCATTTTAAACATATAACTTTAAAAATAACTGGCAATAAAATGGGAAACGATCCAGAAATTTGTACTAAAAACAGCCATTAATTAATATGTCCGTGTCTAATAATATTTTTAAGGTTTTTGAAAATATTCATCAAATTGAATTGTACAACAGACTTAAATATTTAGTTAATTTAATTGAAGGAATTTTGAAAGTTGATAAAAATATTAAAGAAAAAACAATTTTAAATGAAAATAATATTTATTTTATTATTCACCAATTACATTTACAAAAATTAGTTTCTTCAACAGAAAATATTGTATTTATTAAAGAAAAAAGTCAAAATGAAAAAGAAAATATTATTTCAATTCTTTTTGGAGTTGAGGAGTCAGACAAGGTTGGAGAATGGTTTAATAGAATTGATGAACAAATAAATGATTGGAATAAATTTAAAAATCAGAGGGATATTGGTACTAAATTAAATTTAAATAAAACTGTTATATGCCTGTTAAATAATAACTTTGTAGCATAATCTGATCAAATATATCCTGTTATAAAAATAATCCTCGAATCAAAAGCTCTTGATTGACATAAAAGTTATTTAGATCGGTTAAGAATTAAAAAAGTTTTTGCTAAAAATATGGCTGAAAGGGCCTTAATGAAACAGGCTTTGCGGAACTAAATCATAAACAAAATTATGATAGGGGATTTTATATGAGGGATATATCATCAAGTTTAGAGAGCTTATTTCGAAATGAGCTTTAGAACAATTCAAAACAAAATTAATTTTAGATAATCAAAATATTGGAGAATATGGCCCAGCAAAATATTTAAATCCAGAATTAATTCAAAATTTAATATTCTCTGAGGAGGATGAAGATAATTTTAATTATGAAATATTTGAATTAATAGAATTAAATAAAGAAAATGATAAAAATATAAACGAAATAACTAAAAAATTAAAAAATATATTAAATAAATGGGCAGAAATATTTGAAGCTGATTATGAATTTTTGATTGGGGGATCTTTAATGTTGGAAGTAAATACAAAAAATTCTGATATTGACGCTATTTATGTTGTTAAAGAAGATAATGACAATGAGATAAATGATGAAATGGGAGGAGATGATGATGGAACAAAACAATTAATTAGTAGAAATGCACAATTTTTCGGTCATTTAAATTCGAAATGTTTAGATGATAAAAAGGAAAATTGTTCTGATCAATCTTTTTACTGTCATTTATGTTTGCAGGTAAAATGTGTACACATATCTTTAGCATGTACAAAACACTTGTTTTTCACCGGAAATGCCTGTCCAGCCTGCGTTCCCGGTCAACCCTAATCATTTAGATTGTTTGTTCCACTAGAAAGTACTATTTATCTAACTTAGTGCAGCCTTCATTTTTAAATCACCTTTGTGTACTAACACAAATGAGTTTATTTTTTCATCTCAATCGGAGCAAATTTTATTGCCGTGTACCCTCAGATTCGGATTCCTCCAATCTAGAATCTCAATACAATTTAAGTATAATTCAATGTTTAATTGTAGTAAAAACATAAAATTTAGGAGAAGGTTAATAATTTGAAGAGAATTAGTGAAATACGTGTTCCTTTATTGAAATTTGAATTTCATGGAATTGATATAGACATTAGTTTTGTACAAATTCCTGAAAAAATAAAAGATAATAAAAATTGGATGGATGAAGCATTAAATAATGCAATGAATAATAGTTTAGGAAGAGTTTTTCCTTTATCTGGTTATAAATCGAATTTAATTATTAAAGAATTATTACCAAAAGAAGAGGAAAAAATAAAAATATTTCGTTCGGCATTAATTTTATTAAAAATTTGGGCAAAAAGTAAAATACCTAATTTAGAAAAATATTTTTTAAAAATTTATAGATAATTCTATTTATGGAAATCAATTTGGATTTTTGAGTGGTACTTCTATGTTAATTATGTTGACTAAAATTTATTTATTATATCCAAATACTTGTTCTGTTTTGGTTATATTAGATAGATTCTTTCTTACATTTTTGACATGGTTAGTAAATTCTTAAATTTATAAAAAAGAAAAATAAAACATAGTCTAATTTTCAAACATTTTAAAAGGATGGTTCATTTTCTTAGCCCATTGGTATTAACTGGAGTTGACATTAAACGTGATCCAAATTTATGTGGATTTTGTAGTCAAGACTCTTATCCACCTAACACAATTTTAATTCCGCTTAGTTTCACTTTTTTGCTTGCTTTGACGTAAAAGCAAGCAAAGGTCTTATGTATGTTTATGTGTATTGTGTGAAACGAAAGCAGATCATCACAATTTTTAATTTTAAGGAATTGGCCTAGACCTTTCCTTATTGGTATAATAGACGATAGTTTACTCCACAGTTGGAGAGTTGAAACTGAATTATTTGCAAGAGAAATAACATTTTTAAATAAACAAGGAATTGAAGAAGATTGGGTAGATGTTGATAAAAAAGATAAAATTTATATAAAAATTGAAACGGAAAAAGTAAAAGAAAATGAAAAAGAAAATAATGAAAGATTAAAAAAACATTCAAAATTAATAATGCCAATATTAACACCTGCATATCCACAACAGTCAAGTGCTTTTAATGTTAATTATTCAACAATGAAAATAATTAAACAAACAATTATTGAAGGTTAATATTTGGATATTTTACAAAATTTTGGTATTTTGTGTCCAACTTTTGGTGTCCAAATTCAATATAACCTTTTTCGGACCCGGATATCTGCCTTAATCGACACGAGAAAATTTACAGGAACTTTATATTTTCCATATGATTGTTCTGTCTCCTCGATATGTATTTTAAAAACCCTTTTGAATCGTTAGGTCAACAGCTTCACTATTAGTTACATCATACTAATGTTTTTCGATTTTAATTTTTATTTATTTATACAATCGAGGTCAGAATGTACTAATTCACTTATGTACTCATTACATAAAATTGTTCAATTCTTATTCTAATTTTTAAAAAATTTTCTATATAGGATTAAAAGGAATAAGACAAATCCGTCGCCAAACATCCACCAATTTTAACGAAGGACTGAAACAATGGATTAAAGGAGTTGACTTTGTTGATAAAGTAATTTTAATTTTTAATTTAAAAATTATTTTTCTTTTCAAAGTACAATCATTTTGTAACAATTATTTGTGTTGGAATTGATAAAAATATTGGAGAAGATTTTTGTAATTTTGTAAAAAACAGAATTAGAGTTGAATTAGTTTTGTCATTAGAAGAATATCCAAAATTAGAATATTCACATATTTCACCAAATAAATCAAAAAAAGGAAAATGTGAAAAAAGATTAATTGCTGGGAAAAAATTTAAAAAATTCTGGTAATTAATAAATAAATAAATACAGGGTGCGGCAAATTCGCGCAACTTTTTGGTTTAATATAACTTTCTTCATTGCATATTTATGCGCATATTTTGGGATTTTCCGTGCATATTTTGACACGCCCTATTTTCTAAAATTAAATTTAAAGGGAAGACAATTGGTGTAAACAATGGATTGTTGGTTTAAATATGCCCGAATTATTTAATTATTCAGAAGATAAAGCATCCTTAAATTATTATTTTTTAAAGTTTATTAAAAAAATAAAAGGAAAATATATTAAGGTAAAAATTAAAATAATTTTTAATTTAAAAATTTTATTTAGCATAGAAAAATTGAAAGAACTAATGTGGCTATTCATTTACGTTATACTGATATTCACAAAGCTAAGAAGTTTTGGGGAGATAATTAATAAGATGAATTTTCCATAAAAAATCTTCAACATCAAGAACCGGATCAAAAATTTTTATTTAAAAATCTTTATAATATGTAGAATTTTTTCTAAACGGGAAGAGCTACAAGAAAGTTTTTCAGCCACGGGGAGGTGAAGTAGTAAACGTTTTCGAGGGAAATTTCAGAGTATCAAAAAATTAACGTCATATTTAGATGTAACTTTTCAATTTTCGTTAGGTCACGAACCCAGAGTTACTTTCTACAGAACCAGAATATGTATGGGGAGATTCTGGGAAAAAAGGTAGTCATTACTAGATCAGTTTGGGCTCCCTTCCCATTCTGTTTTCCATTATGTTTTCTTCCGTTCTTAGACCTTCCTCTTCAACATTTTAGGGCTCGGCCCTTCCATTATGTATATATTTATTATATTATTTAAATCCATTTATTATGTAAAGCTTACAAAGTATGTAATATGTATGTACATAGCTATTTAATTCCTAACATAAGGCTATGCAAGAAGCGTGTGGTTTCGCTACCAGCCGCCTAAGTAACCTTTTGTATTAGCTAGGGATGAAATAGCTATAGCACCGTTCTGTTTTATTATTATTATTATTATTATTATTATTAGTTATTTATTCTGTTGAAAATAAACTTTAGTCAAAAAGTCTTTGCTTTAAATTAAATTAGACATGGAGAGATTTAATAAAAAAACTACTTATATGTAGTTTAAAAGCGAGTTACCAAATAATTTTGCTCTAAATTCTTACAAAATATTTTTACAAAATAATTACAAATAAATTTATTTAGAAAAAAATTATCGAAATCTTTAATTCTTTTTCAAAATTCTTATCCAACACGGATTGGTGCTACTTGGGAACTAGCCATTATTTGAGTTGAGACCATTATATTTCGATTCACAACCATAACTGAAGTTGACTTTTTCTCATAACCAAAAGTTTTAAATAAAGCTTTGCGATGTTCAGAACTTTAAACATAAATATTATTTCTTTAATTTTAAAGTTAAAAAAATACCTTGATAGAAAAAGTGCAGGTACTTCACATGTCGAACTCAGAGAGCTAACACAATTAATTCCCAAATTAATTAATGTTTGTGTATCGCTACTAAAATTACTAAAAACTCCATTATCCACTAAATTATAAGCAGTTAATGAAAACATCCAACCAAAGATTTGTATGCCCATAATTATAGCTATTGACTTGAATAGGGCCATTCTTCCAGCATTAACTTAAACAAAGACTATTTATATTTGAGACGTTTATTAAAATTTTATAGGATTTTAAATTGTTATTTAAATATTGTTTAATTTTTTATTTTGTTATTTATTCTCGGTTTAACTCAGCTTTAAAATAAAAATAAGAAAACAATTATTACTTAGCCCTTTCTTGCGGTCCCAAAGCACTTTTGCTATCATTATAATATAGCAGGCTAAAGTGATCCAGTTAAATATCAAACAGGCAGCATGAAAATTAGTTTCTCCTTGTGCTGTGATTAGATCGCTCAGATAGCAAAGATTTGGGCTTTAATTAGTTTTTTTGTAAGAATATATTTAATATAAAAATATTCACCGAGTAGGGCCTTGGGCTGTTGTAATAATTACAGTTGTGATGAAAGCAAGAGGGAACAGACTTGAAATGCCGTACATTAGGGGAGTATGAAAGGAATCTCCACGAACAGAATACCTATTTTAAGAAAAAAAAATATTTTTGGAAATTAAAAAAACCCAAACCAAATAGGGAAAAACATGCTAAGAATTCTGTCAATAGCAATCATAACCATTAAAGAATAAATATTGAAAGAACCAGCTATTGGCAAAGTATCGGTTAAAGCACATAACCACAAAGGTATTTGTGTGTTTGTAATCATAACTAGCCAAGTTGGAATTATTTGAATTTTGGCTAGAACACAACAAATTGCATAAATCCCTATTAAACGATGGCATGTTCCGTTCAGTGTCCTAATTAATTTAATAATTATTTTTAATTTTATGAAATGTGTGAATGTCTGTATTAAAACTATTCATAATTAATCTAATATATCTTACTTAAATTTAATAGTCACATAAGCAAGTATGAGAAATCCAGGAATTCCAATTTGATCAACAATTGTATTTATTGTGAAGGATATCTCTTGCAAATTAAATGTCATTTTTAGATCTTTTATTTAAATTTAAAATAATCCTTTACTTAAATTTATATAATTCTTAAATTAATTTTGTTAATCAAAAATTTTAATTAAAAAAATTTTTAAACGAAATATAAAATATCACAAAATTTTAATATTTAGCGTGCAACTTAATTAAAAAAGTTTTATTTAAGTTTAAATTTAATTTAAATATTTATTTCACGCAAACACGACAGTACAATCTTTAATTTTAATAAAAGGATACAAACCTAAAAAATGAAGAATTTAAAATTTTAAAAATTATGTATATTTAAGCTACATACGTTTATTAGAAAGGTGTAAGGGCACATTTTTTTAAAAAGTCTCAAGTATGACAAGAATGCCTTTTAGTAGGAAGGGTTATTAAATAGGTAATATGTACATATATTATTTTATAATAATTTCAGCCAAGTTAAACTTTGACATCATGCTTAAACTCGAAAAATCAGGGTGGAGTAATAAATTGGTTTTTCTATTTTGGAATTATACTCAATTCGATCCATGAGGACGTGTTTTGTCTGATTCAACGACCTACTCCTCACTTTCCTTCAACCCGATTGGTTTATATAAAATTTAGCTTTAATTTTTGTCCTGAATAATTATTGAATTTTAATTTTGTTAATCTTCATATATTCTCATTAATTAAATTAAAAGTGTTTAGGACGAAGTTGACGGGATTGAAGAATTTTAATGAATATTTCCTTGTTCGCGAATCTTTTTAAATATTCAAACAAAAATACTTCATATAAATATTCTCATTAAATACAAAATAAGTTTAAGTTTAATTTTATATATCCGGAATATATTTATGATTTAAAAACATTTCCCATAAATATATATAAAGTTTTCTTAAATTATTTAAAAAATAAAACTTAAAAATTAAGAAATATTAAAAAAAGTTTTATGTGAAAAGTTTTAAATTGAAAAAAAATTAAAAGTACATTTTTTTAATTTTTAATGTTTAATTTTTAATTTAAAAAAATAAAAAAAAATTTATTTATTTTTAAAAAATTATATTTTAATTTTAAAGTAATAATTTAAAAAAAAAATTATTAACATCTCAACAAGGAAGACAGTTAACCTTTAAAAAATTTTAGATTTAAATTTTGAAGAAAAAAAATTTTTTAATCGCGTGCGATTAAAAAATATTTAAATTAAATTTGTATTTAAATTTTTTAGTCACGCTATGAAAGATAAAATGTTTCAATTTTAAATAAAAATTTTAAAAAATTTAATTTTTAAATATAATTTTAGGGTACAATTTTAGTACAGAAAATTAAACAAAAAAAAATTATAAATTTTTAATTAAAATTTTTTTGGAATTTTGGGGTTAAAATTAATTGGATTTATTTGTTTATTTGACAAGATTTTATTTTTATTTTTTGTTTGATATTTTAAATTATTAATTCCAAATGTTTTCTTCAATGCATTACGATGTTCAGTGCTGAAATGATAAAAGAAAAATAAAATTTTAGATTTTTTTAATTGAGAGTTTGTACTAAGCAATTGAAATTTTTTAAATATCCTCCAGAAATTAAAAATAATTAATTTATGGATACTTAAATTTGACTAAAAGAACTATTTTTGCAGTTCCTTGACATTATAATTTCTAATCAAAAAAAAAACACCTTGATATAAAAATAGCTGGAACTTCACAAGTTGAAGTTAAAGAACTAAAACAATTAATTGCTCCACTAATTAATGTTTGTTTATCTTCACTCAAATTATTTAAAAACCCTTTATCAACTAAATTGTAGGCAGTTAATGAAAATAACCATCCACCAATTTGAATTCCCATAATGATAGAGAGTGATTTGAATAAAGCTACTTTGACTGTATTCACTTAAAAATTTAAACTTTATTCTTCAATCTCAACAAAATATCCTCCTTCCCCTCCCCTTCCCCTCTCCTCCTCTCCCCCCCCCCTTCCCATTCCTCCACTTCCCCCCCCTCCCCTCCCCTCTAAAGAGAATAACAAATAAACTACCAACATTTCCCCTTATTTATATCCCATTTAATTTTGAAAATCATCACAATATAACAAGCCAAAGTAATTAGATTGAAGGCTAAACAAGCGTTATGAAATTTTGTTTGTCCCTGTTGGGTAATAAGCTCCTCAAGGTAGCACATGCTTTGACTGAATATATTTTAGGTATTTATTTTGAAATTAAATTTTTTACCGATTTGGATCCTCTATTACATTTATAATCACTAAAGCGATGAATGTGAGAGGAAAAATAGTAGAGATACCGTACATCAAACGGAAGTGAAATGAATTTTTTCGAACTGAATACCTGTAAAATTTTATTATTTGGAGGGAGGAAATATTTTAGTCGCTTTAAATTAAAGTTGAGTCGATTGGTCTGTTAATTTTAATTAAAACAAACCAAATAGGGAAAAACATGCTAAGAATTCTGTCAATAGCAATCATAACCATTAAAGAATAAATATTGAAAGAACCAGCTATTGGCAAAGTATCGGTTAAAGCACATAACCACAAAGGTATTTGTGTGTTTGTAATCATAACTAGCCAAGTTGGAATTATTTGAATTTTGGCTAGAACACAACAAATTGCATAAATCCCTATTAAACGATGACATGTTCCATGTAAAGTTCTAATAATGTTTAAAATTATAATTATGTAATGCTAATTTAACTATAATATGTAGATACGGATAGCTCGAAAATCCCTGACAAACCTTTAGCAATGTAAATATTCTAACAAAATTTTTCACCCAAAATTTTGTAACTAAACTAAATTCCTTAACATTTTCTTACAAAAATTTAAATACTATTAATGTAATGTTTAAAGTTCAAAACTTTTAATAATTTACTTGTGTTTTATTGTCAAACAAACAATCATCAAGAAGAAAGGAATTCCTAACTGATCAACAATCATGGTCACAGTGACCACCAAATTCATAATTTTCATAATTCTTCAATAATTATTCTACAACCTTTCTCGTTTTTTTTTAAATTTTTTTATTAGAGAGGAAATTAAATGGATATTTAATTTTAAAGAAAAATTAATGGTCGAGGAATATTTTATATGCAAGGAAAGTTTAAGTTTATATTCATAAAATATTTAATTAATTTACTCCAAACACCTCCACACATTCAGTTAATTTCAAGAAAAAATCATTAATTTTTTATATTGTTTACTATTTAAATTTTTAATTTAAAAATTTTTTCTAAGAAGTACATTTAAATACAGAAAAGTTTTTGAATGTTGCTTTAAAGTTTAAATTAATTTTGAGTAATTTCCAGATGTTAAATGCTTGCCTCCTTTCTTTTCATTTAATCTAATAAATATTAAATTAATTTAATAAATATGCTGTCGAAACAGAGGAAAAGATTATTATTCAGTTTAATAAACAATAAAAATTATTTAATAAATAGGTAATGGTAAAACTAGAATTTGTCTATATGTACTTGGTAAAAAGAGGTTATCAGTGAGAGACGCTCTGTGTGGCGTCTCTCCTTTAAAAAACTATAATAAAAGTAAAAATAATACTAATTTAAGGATAAACTTTAATAACATTAAAATCTTTTAATTTATTATTTAATTTTCCCTTTTGTTAAACAAGATGTAATATATACACATTTATCATCTTTAATAAATTTTTAAAAAGCCTAAATAATCCAAAAGTCTACATTTTTATTAAAAACTGTTTGACATTTTCCCTTCTGATTTTTCTCCATACTTTTGTTACTTCGTTTTAACGTACATGATTGGTGGTTCTTTTTAAATTGAAAAATCTCTTTACTTTTGCTATTTTCCAAAGAAAATTCATTCATCACTTTTTTAGAATAAAATTCGAGTTTAAAGGTTCGATTATCAGTAGCACTCTCTGATCGAAGAAAATTCTAAAAAACAGAAAATTATATGAAAGTAATCCACTCTCCCTAAATCATGTGTACGGGGACCTAATTCATACGGAAAAATTGTGTATCATAGTTGCCACGGTTTAAGTAAAGAGTGTCGGATTAATGATCGGGCGATAGAAAAAATTCAGGGTAGAGTAAAGTTATTACTGCGGAATTTGAGCGATTTAAGCAAATCTTTGGGAAAATCATTCCATAATGGTCTAAAAAAACTCGTATCAGTTTAGAAAATGCCAGATTTCGGGAAACCCCGCGGCAACACTCGTAATGTTTATTTATTCTTAACATCTCACCTCTTTACATTTTTCAATTAATTGTTCCATAATGTCTTGTATAGTTCCGCGATAATTTATCATCGTTAAAGTTTTTTCATAATAATCATCGTTAAGTACTTTTTTTATTTTATTTTTGTAATGAAGCCAATTAAATAATGATTCAACATCAGGATCACTGTCCTTTATGATGTACATTTGTTCATTGTGTCCGAACCTTTAGTCAGTGAACTTTGCGTCAATGCTCCTTCCGTCAATACCTTTCGTCAATAAGACTTGAGGGGTTTGTGGGGGAATAAAAGGGATATATTAATAGGGAGGTGGAGATATTTATAGAGATTTATGGAATATATTGGACTTATGTATATCCGCCTAATCATATAAATCCTCTGATATGCCGTTTGATTCCATCATATCCCTTTGTTTTCTAAAACCATCTTAATTCGCCGATATCTATCAAAATTCTATGATATCCTCTAAAATCCTCTGATTCGCAATGAAAATTTTTGTTTTCATCGCGCAATTTCAGTTTCAGCGCCACAGGACGGCCCATTGACGAAAGGCATTGACGAAAGTTTCATTGATGCAAGGTTCATTGACGGAAGATTAGAGAACCGTTCTATATTGTCTCGGATATACTTATTGTGGCGAAAATCATCATCAATATATAGGTGTTGACAGTTGAGAACGACTTGATTATTTAACAATTTCTATAAAAATTGTGTTAAAAACTATAAAAAACAAATATGAATGACAGTAAGAACTAACGGACGAGCAAAAAACAAGCGGCCAAAAACTAATTCAATAACCTGATTTGGTATCGTTCCCATACGAATGGACACAAAAAATTTTCACCAAAAACCTAACCACAAACATACTTGATTAACAAATCTTACGTATTCCCATTTTGGACCGTTCTGTGCGATAAAATTTCACTCCTCAGTTTCTTTCGGCACCTGAAACCTTCCGAAAGTAAAGAATCTGCGCGAATAAATGGGAAACGTTGAACCATCATTTATTTTTACTTATATATGACAAACATTTAGTTTTCACTAACGAAAAGACGACAAGCATAGCCTAACAATTATAACCTTAGTAAATTGTCCATCGCTCAGATTTAAAAAGACGACATGCTTTGGGCAAACCGATTCCAGAATATTTAAATAATCAATGAATTCTTGTTCTTCTGTCTCAGTTCTGATTGTTAAAATTTTGGTAAAAGGTATCGGTTTAAAACCAAAGATTTTGGTGTCAAATCTCGTCGAATTGAACTCTATGAAAACAACCCTGGGACGGGAAAGATAACTCCCAGTCCATTATTTTGATGTTATCAAAAGGGATTGGCCCTTTTCGAATGACACCAAAATTTCGATTTTAAATTTTATGCCTTTTGTTGGTGAGGTTATTATTCTGTGGACAGATATAGATATCACAATTTTGAAAAAGTTCAAGTGAGTGACGCATCATACTCATTACATAGCGGCGATAACGCTGAAATAGTAAAGAAGAAAAATTTCGAAAAATCTCTCGGATTTTTTGTATGGGATTTGATTAAAAAATTCCCATTTATTTTATCCAATACATACCTATCAGGGGTGTGCCAGTTTCGCATTCCGCGTTTTCGCGTTTTTTGGACTTTCGCCTTTCGCGTTTCGCGTGTCGCTTTTTTAAATTTACTTTCACATTTCGCGTTTCGCGTTTCACTCTTTAAATTTAATTTCGCGTTTCGCATTCCGCTTTTTAAAATCCGTTTCGGCACACCCCTGGGCCCGTAGAATAAATTCGGGGTTAGGTTACCCGAGTAACTTTTCCCCCACAAAACGAAAAGATGAGAAAAATCCTTGCGCCGAAAAAATGGAGAAGAAAAGAAAGAGGAAAAGAATACGGTAGAGGTGGAGGGTAAAATTGTTACCCTGCTACGGGGCAGGGTAGACAATTCCTTTAAAAAATCCTTAAAATTTAAAATTTGATGAAAAAATTATAAATTAAATTTTTTAAGATAGTTTGGAATGTGCTCTATTTTTTGATATAAGTTTTAGAATTTTTTCTTTGGAAATAAATTTATGACAATTTTTAACAAAAAGGACCTCATTTTTAGTCATTTTTTAAGGAAAAAGTAGTACCTTGCTAGTAAATTCATAACTTTTAAATATGTAAGTCGGTCAAAAATTCTGATTTTTTGGTATTTCATAGATAACACTCCGATCTATAATTTGGCCAAAAAATAAAATTTTTATCTGCATTTTAAAAAAAGTTATGAATTTTTTCATAAATAGGGAGAATGAGAAGCGGGTAGCGGCGCCAAATCCTTTGCCTAGGGTCAAGTCGGCGCTGCCGCTACCCGGGTAACCTTACCCTTGAATTTATTCTACGGGCCCTGATACATATTAATATCATTTAAATAATTTTATAAATTTTACTTCACCGTAGTTAGCACGAATATGCCAAGAAGTTAAACGAAAATGCTCAGCCAGAGAGCCGTTACTTGAATTAAATGTAAATATTGTCTTTTTTCTTGTACTAAATGGCGTTTTTTTTGTTTCTTCATCTCTATTTACCAATTCATAAATGAATTCGTTAACTTTTTTTATTATATGAACATTTTTAACTTGTTTTGAAATATTCAAAAAATAACTGTTGACGGGTTCAAAATTTTTAACCAAAACTGAACGTTCCAGAAAAGAGAAAATATCAATTAAAACATCACTGTTTAGACATTCTCTTAAATAAAAAATATTTTTATACCTATTTAAATAGAATAAATCTAACCTTAAATGCCCTTTATCTGTGTTATCCATTTGGATTTTTAATGCATAATAATGGTTCTATCGATTAAACAATGTGGACAGCATCGTGCCCGCATAAAATGGCAAAAGGGCAAAAACTCACAAAATGGCAAAAAGGGCAAAAATGCAAAATTAGCAAAAAAGCACATAGGTAATAGCAAATCCATTTAATGGCAATCCTATATAATGGCAACCCCATAAAATGGCAAAAAACTCAAAATGGCAAAATAAATTTTATTTGTTGTTTTTGTTTGTTTTGTTGCTCCCCAGCATTGGCGGACATTGTTCCCATTGGGGGGGGGGGGGGGGGGTGTTATTCCAACAACGGCCAAAGTTATTTCGGAGTCACTTTCGTATAGGCCCACCAAGATCGAAACTCGACGTATATACCAGGGAACGCCCCGACAGAAAATCAAATTCCCGATTTTCGGGAATCGTGAATTCACGAAAATTTCGAATTCCCGAATTTCGTGAATCGTGAATTCACGAGAATTTCGAATTCACGATTTTCGTGAATCGGGAATTCACGAGCCAAAAATCGTCGGGAATTCACGATTTTCGGGAATTTTCGTGAATTCGGGAATTTTGCCTTTTTTGGGGGATTAGAAGTAATTACTAGGGGTTAGATGTACTAGAGGTTCTTAATTGATTAACTGAAGGATATTTAAGCGATACTATAACTGTATAAAGAATAAAGGGATTTGAGGTAATAAATATGGATTGAGGGATAGTAGGGCATTTGGAGGTGATCAAGGGATAAATTGAATCTTTTAGATAAATTACTGATATACAACTTACACCTCTTTAGTTTTTGATATCACAGGCAAATATGAATTTCAGAGGATTCTAAGAGATATAGGAAGAACAAGAGGGATGCGGGACAGGGGGATGTGGATCAGTTGAAGCCTAATAGAGGATGGATTTATGATTTATAATGATATCGATGAAAGAAGATCTGAGGGAGTATTAAGGCATATAGGGGAGGATTAATTAGTTGTCGAAAAATGTGAATATCTGTCTCAATAGGACCGAAACCGTTCGAATTCATTGCTCCTTGGCCCTCGAAAATTCTAAAATTTTTGACTGCGGATTTGGATGGATATCGGTGGTTCTCTCCTTGTCTTTTTTCCAATCCCCCAACATACTAAAATTCCCCAATCAATTTTAGTCATTATCACTCAATCCCTACTTATCTTCCCAAATTTCTTTTTCCTCTTATTATCCTCCTTATCCATGATGTGATACCGTTGTTATTATTATATGATGATCCATGATGTGATACCAAGATTAGGAAATATGTAAAAAGATTAAAGGTAATATTGAATGATACCGTGGGATTAAGGAGAATTGGAGGTATCTCTAAATGTTTCGATCTTCTCATAATTATTCCATTTTCAGCGCCGCAGGCAAAAATTTTTTAAAATTTAGTCTCATGCAGTTAGATTTCTTCCATTTTCGGCGTCGCAGACGAAAATTTGAAGAATTTTTGAAGACCAAAAGCCAGATTTTTTCAATTTATCTGCGCCGTAGGCAAAAATTTTGAGAATTTTTGAGGACCAAGTCACCAGATTTCTTCCTTTTTTAGCTTCAATAATTAATAAAAATTCCCGATTTTTTCCCGATTTTTAGAAAAAATGTCGTGAATCGGGAACGTGAATTCACGAGAATTTCGAATTCACGATTTTCGTGAATCGTGAATTCACGAGAATTTTGAATTCACGATTTTCGTGAATCGGGAATTCACGAGCCAAAAATCGTCGGGAATTCACGATTTTCGGGAATCGTGAATCGGGTCGGCGCGATCCCTGGTATATACCATTCGATTCGTCTCACCGAGCTGAGTTCAAATATGCAAGAATTTTCTGCGCAGAGATATAAGCCCCCGAAAATCGAAATACCATAGGGGGGAGACCATAAGGTCAAGACCCGGGAGGTCAAATGACCAAGAAGGTCAAATACAAATTTTTGGCTTATAAAGGTGAGTCATGCTCAAGAATATGTTTGCCTGCTTCTTTTTGCATTATCCGACAGTTGCAACTAGAGTATTTCCGTTCTGTCTCTTAATCCCCTTAATCCCAACAAATCCATCTTAATCCGCCCAAATCCGGCGATATCCTCCTTAATACCCACAAATTGTCTTAATATGCATATATCCTTCTTTATCCGCCAAAAATCTGTATTTGACCTTTTGAGTAATTTGACCTTCTGGGTCTTCCAACCTTCCCCTTAGATATTAATTGATCAATCTATCACTCTCTCGGCTGATTAATTAAAAAATTTGATAAAAAAGTAAATTTAAACTAATGATTGAGAAAATTTGTACATTCTTCTAGAAGCGATACTCTTTCTCTCTAGTCTACCAAAATTACATATTTACTAAATTAAAAAATAAACACCAAAATATATCAAGTCAAGTAATATTAACAATTGGTTTATTTAAGTGATAACTTCTATCCCATATTTTTTTGCATACTCTTTTTGTTCTTTGTCGATTTTCTTATCACCACGCCTCAGCATGATGTAACCTCCATCTTCTGATTTTGTAAGGGATATAAATTCATTATCATTTTCATAATAAAATTCAGGCAAACCATTTTCTGTATATTTAAATATTAATATGTATTCCCTTTTATTGTTAATATGTTCTGGTTGCAAAAACTTCTAAAAAAATATATAAAAAAAACTTTATTGAAAATTCTTTATGATTAAAGTTAAAGAATCCACCTCTTTACACTGTTCAATTATATTTTTACAATTATCGTGATATCTATAACGCATTATTAGAGCTCTAAATGTTTTTTCATAAAAAATATTAAATTCTTTTCCAGCATTTTTATAGTGTAACCAATTAAAATATATTGAATCGTTCTCCCTTTCTGTAGATCTATCAATTTCGACTGTTTGGCAATTTAGAACGCATTGATGATTTAATATATTCTGTAAAATTTTATGTTAAAAATAGAGTTGCGTCGTAATCGAAAATTTTATCCGTAATCGTAATTCGTAATTTTTAAAAAATTTTCGGAATCATAATTCGTAACTTTAAAAAATTCGTAATCGTAATTTGTAATTTTTAAAAAATATTTAAATTAATTTAGAAAATATAATATGTATTTATTAGTAATTGGTGCTTCTCCCATTAATCCCTCCAAATCCTCTTATTTCTCTAATATTATTTCACATCCCTATTAATTACCTGATGTCCAATTAATTCCCTTATTCGTAATTTTTAAAAAATTTCGTAATTTTAAAAAATAGAGTTGCGTTAAAAAAAATAAAATTTTTTTCTCTTATCTCTTTTTTAATGGCATTTAAGAAAAAAGTTTCAACACAAAAATTTTAGGCCATTAAGTGCTCTTTAAAATGAGTATAAATATCAGTATGCTTTATCGACAGAATTTGGTACTTATGAAGATGGAGGTGCCCTTTCTGCGGACTTTTTTTGCGGACTTTTCTTCCTTTCTTTCTAAATGTTTTGGTTGTTTTGCTTTCAGCAAGTTTTGCTCGTAGCAATTAACTGTCAAAGGATTATTTTTTATGCCAATTTGAAAAATATGTGTTCACGATTAATTTGAATATATAAACGTAAAAAATGTTACAATCAATTAAAAATTTTACTTTAACTAAATTTTCAATTACCCGATGATGAATTTCGACAATGGATCACTGATCTCGGAATACTTCATAGAAAAAGAATATGTTATTGTGGAACAGAAATGCGGGTAATTTCAAACCCCCCCCCCATTATTTTTATTACCTAAGATTGTACAAAATGGTCAGATTTCCTTCTTTCCTCTGTTTGAGCTTGGCATATTCAAATAAGAGATATTGGTGATAAAGAGAAAATTAAAATTAATTGAGTTGTTCAATACTAAGTTCAATTTATTTTCTCAGTTGTTCAATATTTTAAAATAGAAGTAAGAATGTAATGTTTTTAAACACAAATTCATAATGTTATACACCAAATCAATTTTATTTAATTCTTTTTTTGTTTAAATTGTTTTCGAAGGCAAAAAATAAGTGTATGACTATAAAATTAATCTTCTCTTCATCAATGTCTCTTGTTTGAATTTGCCACAGGGCAAATAGAGGAAGGAGAGGAAGAAGAAAATCTGACCTTTATGTACAATCTTAGGTAAGAAGAATAATGGGGGAGTGGCGTTGACAGTTAGTTGCTACAAGTAAAACATTTAAAAGAAGGGAAGAAAAGTCCGCAAAAAAAGTCCGCAGAAAGGGCACCTCCATCTTCATAAGTACCCAGAATTTTATCAAAAAAATTTTAAACAATACTACTCAATTTTTGGTGTAGAAAAAAGATAGGACCAAAATAGAAATATCGACTTTTGTTCGGTCAGAAATACTATAAAAATTTTTATAAACATTTCCATCGATACTAAGTAGAAAATTAAAAAGAACTAAGTCAATAACATACTTCTTCATCAAGATCTCAAATATCAAAAATCAACGGAAAATTGGGGTACAGTACTTAAAAAAAGTTTTCAACCCCCTAGAGCTTGAATTAAAAATTTTATTTTATGCCTATCTGAAAGCCCATAAAATTTACTACATTAATATCTCAACTTAAAATTTTTCGCCAAAAGATTCATGGAGATATAGGCCGAGAAATTGAAAAGTTATCAATTTTGGGGTATTTTGGGAGGTTTTGAGCATTTTTAATGTAAAATGGACTTGCACCAAACAGATATTTTTCTAGGAAAAATAATTTCCGGACTATTTTGTAGTAAATTTTATGGGCTTTCAGATAGGCATAAAATAAAATTTTTAATTCAAGCTCTAGGGGGTTAAAATATTTTTTTAAGTACTGTATTTTTTAAGTACCTGTTCCTACTTTTTTCCGGCACTGTATATATGTATTATTTTATTTTTTTAACGCAGCTTTATTTTTTTTAATTAAAAAAATCCAAATCCCTTAATATCCCTCGACCGAAAAAAATGACTCGATCGTCGGCCCGACTCGGAAACGGCAACCCTACTCCTAATGGTCTCTTGTAATCATAACCTGAGTGATGAAAACGAACATATCAATAATAATTTTTGATGGGCAGACGGGATCCAAAATATTTAAGTATGAATACAATTCTTTTTCTATTGTATTGTTGTGCTTAATGTCAATGCAACAATTTGCTAAAAGTTCACGCAAATGACGCATTACAAACTTGTGGTAATGGCCACGGCGCT